CCCGACGCTCCCCGGCCTCGGCTGCGGGGCTCACTCCCCTTGGCAGCCCCGGAGAACCCCCTCGGAGTGGGTGGCTCCGAACCCCAGATGCCCGAGCTCCCCGCGACTGCACCCGGGGCTGGCGCCAGAGAATTCTCACCCTTTCTGGGGAGAAGGGGGGCTGACCCTCTCTGCAACTGAGGACTAGACTCCAACAGCGCGACGGGAGGGGGGCGAGCGGGGCACAGCGCTCACTCCCCTTGGCAGCCCCGGAGAACCCCCTCGGAGTGGGTGGCTCCGAACCCCAGATGCCCGAGCTCCCCGCGACTGCACCCGGGGCTGGCGCCAGAGAATTCTCACCCTTTCTGGGGAGAAGGGGGGCTGACCCTCTCTGCAACTGAGGACTAGACTCCAACAGCGCGACGGGAGGGGGGCGAGCGGGGCACAGCGCTGCTCCCTCCCGCTCCCGGACCCCATGCCCTACCTTGGGTCTGGGTGCCCAGGGAGCTGCTTTTAGGACCGATCTCAACCAAGTGTCTGGGAGCTGGACTTGGGTGTGGCTTTTGCCTGGAGGCCCGTTGAGGGGGCTCGGGGTTCCCAGAACTTGGCCCGGGGTGCCGTGGGGTGGGATAGGGGGAGAGGAGAGGTTAGGTCACAGTCAGGGACCTGAGCAGGCTCCCCCCTGCTTTCTCCCCATCACGGTCTATCCAGCGCCTTGAAACACTATTAGGAATTGGGGGAGGGGTGCTGGTCTCCCCCACCACGTGCTTGTCGTGGGCAGGGGGACCCACGTTCAGTGGAGGGGGGTGGCTGCTTCCCAGACCGGGAGCCGCACCCTCTTCTCCATCCCGCTCTGAGGTCCCCCAGAAAAAGTTGGGGAGGGGGTTGGTATGGAGAGAGGGGTACCGCGCCTGACTCCCCCCAAGCTAACGCGTGAGCTGGGAGGGTTGGATCAGGTCACTAGGAGACACCCTGCCTCTCCCGAAAGGTCCAACTCCCTTTCCCAGAAACGCGCTCCTCGCGTGGGAAGAGCAGGCAGTTGCAGGGTCTGCCCAGGCTGAGGACAGCCCGCGAGCGCGCACTCTGCCTGAACCCCCGTGACCTGGGGTCGAGGGACAGGCCCAGGGACAGGCGGGCCCCTTCTCCCCGGGGGGCGCCCACCTGCTTTCAGCACCGAAGGCCACTGACAGCTCTCCGCTCCCTGGGCCTCAGCTCTGGGTCCCTCTCCCTTCAACTCTTCCCCGAGGCCTGGAGTGCCCTCCACAGCATAAATCAGGCATTTTATCCCCCCACCCCCACCCACCCCGCCCCCTTCCCTTTAAACGTGGAGGCAGGAATGCAGAGCCGAGGAAATAATTCATCACCTTTCGTTTAACAAAAGCATATCATTCAAGAACCCCCCACCACGTAGGCAGCGATCATATTCACAATGTACACCAGGTCTGGGTGGATTCTCTGGGAAAGATGGGAGAAGAGAATCCCTTTAAATAAATCGTTTCCACTACAGCATGCCCTTCCTTAATTAGCTGTCGCTTTCCAACAATGGCTTGGTGGCCTTGAGCAGAGTCCGGATCTCCCTCCCTCCGCCCCTCCTCTTCAGTCTGTGTTGTGACGAACACACACACACACACCACAAAGAACTGAGAGCTACCCAGTGGCTTGCTGGCTTTTCTAAAGTGATTGTGCCTCCAAAGATCACAGTCTTCAATACGCCACCCTCCAGGAGGAAAAAAATGTTTCATTGGCACATTTTGAATTGTTCTCCAAGACCAGGATTTCCTATCCTGCTCCCTTTGCTGGCTTCCAACACAAAATGTGTGTGTGCTCATTGTAAAGACGTTTTATGGTGTTTTTCCAACTCCACGCGAGGGCCAGCCGGCATATATTTTTAATTAACTCCGGGCCACCACCAAATTAAAGTCAACCCGATGTAGTACTTCAGAAGGCTCATTAATAACCCAGCTGTTCTGGCCGGGAGCGTCTGAGTCATCAGGCGGGAGGGAGGGTGGGTAGCCCCTGGGCATGGCCGGCTCTGAGGGTGCATTTGGAAACAATGGACCTTCCCCCCCCAATAAATTCTAGTTTTTAACGTGGAGCCCAACTTCCACGCATGTCAGATGGAGGACCAGTCCTCTCCGATTCTGCCTGGCAGGCCAGTCCTTCTGTGAGCAGTGCAGTCAGGGAATTGGAAAATACTTGAAAGGGACTTGTTGCTACATTCTCATGCAGGTCACGTGACTCTCTGGGCCATTTTGCTGTAAAGCATGAATAAGTATAAAGTGTAACTTGTTTTTGAAGAGGCTTCTTATTGTCTAAGATATGCACATGGGGAATAATTGTAGCCACGTGCTCAG